TGGGGCCTGAACTCTGGGCCTGGGTGCTGTCCCTCAGCTCTTCAGCTCAAGGCTAGCGCTCTACCACTTGAGCCACAGCGCCACTTCCGGCTTTTTTTCATTTTGCTTATGTGGTGCTGAGGAATCGAAACCAGGGCCTCATACATGCAAGGCAAGCACTCTACCACTGAGCCACCTTCCCAGCCCCCACAATCCATTTTTTTTTTTGTTCTTGTTATGGGGTTTCATGATGTTTTTGTTTGTTTGTTTGGCCCAGGCTGGCCTAAAACCATGATTTCCCTTAATCTCAACCTCTCACATCGCTAGGATGACAGATGCTTGCTACCATGCTCAGCTATTGGTTGATATGGTGTCTCCAACTCAAGTTTTAAAATGTGTCAAGGCAGCTCATGGTTCAGAGGATTTTGATGTGTATTTTTTAATGTGTTCTCAATTTTCTGTTGTTTATTTGGAAGTTATTCAAGCTTTGTGTTACTGTTCTGTCTTGCCTCTTCATCTACATACCTCTTCATCTTTCTCCCCACTAAACGTCTACCCTGGGCTCTTGTGTGTCTTGGTGCCATCTGCCTGCAGAGCACCTGGACCCAACCCTTCTCTCCTCCTACTCACAGAGGACTTTCAACATTCTGACCCAGAAAGCATCTCTGGATGTGTTTCTGCCCGATGGAAGGAGCATGAAAGTAGATATTCTAACATCAGATACTGCCGAAAGAGTCCTAGAGGTAAAGTTTGTTTAATCTCATTCCAGAACTTCATGGAGAGAAAAAACAGTTCTGCTTCAAAAGCAAGAACTGGGCAGGGCGCCAGTGGCTCATGCCTGTAATCTTAGCTACTCAGGAGGCTGAGATCTGAGGATCACAGTTCAGAGCCAGTCTGGGCAGGAAAGTCATCTCCAATTAACCACCAGAAGTTCAGAAGTGGTGCTGTGGCTCAAGTGGTGGAGTACTCGCCTTGAGCTGAAGAGCTCAGGGACAGTACCCAGGCCCAGAGTTCAAGCCCCACGAACAACAAAACAAAAACAAACAAACAGGGACTGAGGTATGGTGAGCCTTGGGAGCCTTCCTGGATTTGGTTTTTATTCTGTGTGTCTCATCTGTGGTAAGTGCTGGGGTCCCCTGGGAGGCTGAGCAAGGCACCTGAATGACAGCCCTTCTTCTAGGACCTGATTTTACCCTTCCAATGGACATCACTCACCTTTTCCTAGAACCTAGCCAGGATATAGTCTGTAAATGTCCAGAAGGCTTTGGTACAAAACATTTCATATATATATATATATATATATATATATATATATCCCATATATGAGAACAGGAAGGAAGCAGTTCCTGGCTGAGTCTAGAATAAGCCATACCCAGTGGCTGATGATAGGGCCTGGCAGATGGTCATGGATGATCTCTGGAAGGCTCTTTCTCCTCACACAGGAATTCCCTGAAACCAGTACCTTATCAAGTCTAATTCTGGGCACAAAGAGCCAAACCTGATTTTGAGTCATTTTGAGGATGACAAAGGTGTCAGATGTGACTGTCACCAGTCACTTTTCCCCTTCTGCTCAGCTGGGCTACAGAGAGAATATTGTCTTCTCACACTGATATGTGCTCTGGGGGCTCACTTCCCAGACTCTTTTTCCCTGGGAAGATTTTAGTTCCATTCCTCAGAGAAACATACAAGGGAGAATAGAAAGCTACAAACATCAGCTTGTGTTCTGGGGATGGCTTCTGACCCCTGTGAGCTACCTGCTGGACTCTTTGCTCTCAGGCCTGCTTTTATGTGAGATGCTGCCTTGGGCTTTTCTTCCCAACTTAGAGGTCTAGGCCCTTGACCTCAGTAGAGTAGCCTAGCTCTGGATTAAGATGATTATGTTGGAACTTTTTTTCCCCTGAAAATGATTGTGTACTTCTACCATACCCCCTGATCTATCCATTTTTCTTTTTTCCTTTTGTATTCCCAGTGTAGATGAATGGACACAGAAGCACTTAGATGCTTCTCGTTGCTGAGGCCACCCATGGAGGAGTCTTCCTAGGCTCCTCCTCCACCCCAAGGCCTGTGATCCTATCCCCAAACCTTTCTCAAACCTATCACCTTCTCTGTCACCATGCCTCCATCCTGAATGAGTACAGGATGGCTAATATCCTGCAGAGATGAGAGATACCAAAATGATCCAGGGCCTGTGTCCATATCCAGCAGCCTCACTGGAGGCCAGTCTAATTGGAGGCCAGGTGACAGAAAACTGTCCCGTGAGGTGAGGTGAGACTGGTTTTTGTTTTGTTTTGTTAATTGTGGTTCTTGAACTCTGGGCCTGGGCGCTGTCCCCAAGGTCTTCAGCTCAAGGCAAGCATTCTACCACTTGAGCCATAGCACCATTTCTGGTTTTTCTGGTGGTTAACTGGAGATAAGAGTTGCACAGACTTTCCTGCCTGGGCTGGCTTTGAACCATGATCCTCAGATTCCAGCCTCCTGGGTAGCTAGGATTACAGGCATGAGCCACTAGCTCCCAGCTCTTTTCTTTATTTAAAAAAATATTGCTAAGATTGTTTTTTTCCCCCCAGAATGAAATTCCAAACTTCTTTGAATGTCCACTGGCCTGTCAGAGCACTTCCTATTAAAGGACATTGGTCATTTCCAGTTCTGCATGTCACAGATGGGAGGCTCAGTTGTTATCCTAATCTTTGCCCTTGGCTTGTCTTTTCCTAAAGGTGGTGTCTCATAGACTGGGACTGTGTCGGGAGCTGATAGGTTACTTTGGACTCTTTCTCCTTCAGTTTTACAAGAATGGCAAGCTATCTGGTAAGAAGGAAAGAGATCAACCAGGAGGTGGGGAAGGCAAGGGCTCATCCCAGATGGGGGAGGCATTGCTGAGGGGGCCAGTCAGCCCACTACCAGGTTGTAGTCCCTACTGCAGTTCTTGACCCTGGATTGAATATTGTAAATGGGAGGTTGTGTCAGGATGAGTGGAGACAAGCAGCCCCAGAGAAGTAGCAAGGTCAGGAGCAAGATCCCAGGTCAGCCCACTGACTGTCCTCCCTCTGTGCTTACCTGCACAATCCTAGTATCCTCTCACGTTTACCCCTCACTTCCAACCCCCAACCATTGGCTATGCACAGCTTTCTGGTGCCTAGAGTGCTAACTTCTGGTATCAGGACATCCCCTTACCATACAATGTCTCCTAGTCAGAGAGGATTTATGATAAAATGTGAATGTTACAAAAGTTTTTAGATTCTTTTTAAAAACTAATTTACTTTATTGTTGGTGTGGAGGTGATGTACATAAGTGATTACAATTACATGAGTCAGGTAATGAGCACCTTTCCTTTCAGAGAGTGCCTTCTATTCCTTCATTCTCTCCCAGTCCCTCTCTCCCATCTCCATCCATGAGTTGTATAGTTCACTTTCATCAATGTCCAGTAAGCTCTGTTACCACACCTTTCCCACCCCTTTTTGCTCAAGTTCTATACCCTTTCCACCCCCCCCCCAAACTCTTCCAAAGATATATACTTGAACACACCATACATAAGGTAAAGAAGACAGAATCATCAAAAACGGGGGAAAATGTGTTTAGATTCTTAAAAGTCTACTGAGATAGGAAAGGTGGCAGTCTAAGTCCAGGACTGCTGGCTTTCTCCCCACTGCATATTAAGTATCACAAGGCTTTGTTTTAGCTGCACAAGCCTGTCAGTTATCTCAAAGCAATTTATGTCTTCAAGCGGCAATAGGGAACCTAAAGGTTTTAGGTGTGGATTGGACCCTACAAGCTGTGGGTGACAACCACAGCACTGGGAGCTTCTGGACCTATTTATTTCTTC